AACTTGGATTTGAGGTGAGTTGCAAGCTACCATATCTCCGAGTTTGAGTTGGGTGCACAGCGCCAAGTTATTCTCATCTGTTGCATGCATGTTTGAGTGTGAATTTGCAAGAGTGATTTCAATTTGGCTATAAGTTCGTCAAGGGTGGATGCGTGCCAAACTGAGGCACCTTTTTTTTTGTCCCCCTTTTTCTTTCCTAAGAGGTGGCATCATCATCTGACAGCTGCATGTAATGGAAAATGCCGGTGGTTGTCAAGCGTAGGAAATATACTTGTCAATGTTATTACATCAGAGCTCTAAAGACGTAGGCTGTTTTTCCAGGTGCCCGGGCACCCAACTTATGCCCGGGTACACGCCCGGGTGCCCGGCCGGGCATGACTTCCGGGCTGGGTTCCGGGCAGCCCCAGCGTCAAAAAAATAAAATAAAATAAAAAATCCAGGAAAAAGAATGCTGTGTAGAATTGCAATACAAACGACTTTTGGCTGAGGGTCACATTAGAATTCCGCACAGAATCGGAGATAAAAAAGAAAATAACCAGAAGCACACTAAGGCACGAGACTCCACTGGTGCTATATATATGTGCTAATAAAGCGCAAACATGGCCACATTGAGGAAAGGCTCATAAATGCTTTCCAGGCATGAACTATGAATATAGCATCATTAGTAGGAGAAGTCACCGAACGTGCATATGAGAGAGATGAAAAGGGGCAACCTTAGTCTCCCCTGAGTCTGCTGTCCTTGGGGATTCTCCACGAAATAGAAGCATCGATGTTAGTATAACTTAGTATAGCAATAAGCCCTGAAGGGTGAGATGCTGGTATCTTAAACGACCAGTATGGGGCGGATTCCCCCTGTGCGCCAAGCTTTGCGGAAATGCCAGCGCATGTTTTTTTTTTTTTTTTTTTTTTTCGTTTTGGCTGGCACGGCCAGCCAGGTCCCATTGCCCCGAGGCTCTGAATTTTTTGGATTGAGCCAATCTGTTTTCTCAAGTTGCCTGGGTCCTGTACTGGTCGTTGAAACTCACAATCATCATGCTTTTTCTCTGTCATTCTCTTTTTCTTTGTTAATGCTGAATTGATTAATGAGACCTGGAAAGTGTTGTCTCTGGTGTCTTTTCGTTTTTTTTTTTTTTTTTTTATAGATTCTCGCTACTAAGAAAGTTGATGTTCTGATGTTAGGCTGTCTTTATACCTATTTAGCTGTTGCACTGGCACCATGTCTTTTCCAATTGTTGTGCAGCCTTCAGATCGATTTCTTATTCACCTGGGTTTTCTGCGGAGTTTTCTTGGGGGCCGAGGATATGGTGGTGATTGCCTTGTATCTCTTCTTGTCGTGGTACGGTGTGTCGTTGTAGTACTATACTTATATATGAGTCGGTGAAACTCTGATGAAACAATCTGTTACAGCCCCTCGTTTGTTATCCTCTTCTCCCTCTCTGCTTACTGTTTACCGGGCAGTTCTGTTTGAAGATATATACTACTATATAGATATTCGACACGATATATTTGGTGGATCTTCAACTTAAAATTTGTGATCGTTTGTGAACAGGAGGCAGCAGGAGGTGCGGGTTGTGTCTCAACTCTTAACACTTATGGACGGCATTACGAGCAAAACGGACGGAAGCGGAAGCAACGGTGCACGCGTACTTGTGGTCGCATCAACTAACAGGTGATCGGAACTTTCTTTCGTCTCTCTCTTGTGTTCCCCCCCCTCCCCCCCCCCCCCCCCCCCCCCCCCCCCCCCCCCTGCTCCTTTTACCTGCCCGATCTGTAATTATACTACTTGGACTTCTTTTGCCATCTTCCTGTCTTTTTGTAATTGTTTCTTATGTTCTCTGCTCCTCGCATTCTTTTCTCGAATCATCATCTTTGTCTGCTTTCCTGCTTTGAGAGTACTGTTTGATTCAAACTCTGTAGGTGGTTTCTTTTTGTCGTATAATGAAAGGAGGGCCTTAAACCACCGCTACCTCCTGGCCTGTTTTTGCCGACCCTGAATTTCACTGCGCACCGAGTTCTGCCGAGCGTGGGTCCCATTTTGACCTGCTTTCTGGTACTTGTCCGAAATGAAAAAAAAAAAAAAAAACCAGCAACAACAAAAAAAAACAGAAAAAGCAACCGTGCTAGGGATGTAAAAGCAGCTGGATGTACATGTGATAGTACGCTACTCAGTGGGCGTTACAGCCCCACTGTAAGCATAGCAAGTACAAAACAAAGAAAAACAACAAAAATAAAAGAGAAACATAAAATCGATGGCTACGATCCGGACGTCCGGACCGCCGTCCGGACGGTCYGGATTCAGTCTGGAATCCAGACGTCCGGTCTGGAAGGTCCGGATCTGACAAATTTCGAGGAAAAAAAAAAAAAAACGGTCCAGGACCCTTCCCCATTGAGGAGCCAAGCCCCCAAAATTGTTTTGGGGGGGTTTCAGGCCCGTTTATGCTTTTTTTGGGGATCCGGACATGCTCTCTCTCTATAGCAATTTATTAGACAACCCCAATTTTTTTATTATTAATAATTCATTACCTTTTATTAGTTTTTAAAGTCTTTTTTAAGCTTTTCATAGTTTTTGACTTTTAACTCTGACTTTTAACTTTGGTTAGGAATTCTGACATGACTCTGAGGCAAAAGTAGTTTGCATTGTTATTCTGCATAACATACCGTTTTTTCAGATTTTTTTTTTTTTTTTTAATGGTCCGGACATTTCCGGACCTGTCCAGACTTCTGGACCGTCCGGATCCCCCCATGTCCGGAGGTTTGGAAATGTCCGGAATTCCGGACGTCCGGAAACTACCGGACACGGGTCCGGTTCCATGTCCGGAAATGTCCGGGTCCGGGTCCGACGTAGCCATGATAAAATCTCTGTGAAAGCAGCCAGATGCAGAATCTTGGGTGCATCTGAGAATCTTGGGCCTTACAGCACTGCTGTGATCACGGGAACAGCAAAACGAAAAAAAAAGCAACCCAACAGTGGACGCGAAAAGATGTGGATACAAAATCTTGAGTACGTGTGAGATTGTGTCCTTTGTTGAAAAGTGTCAGCTGCCCGTTTTATGCACCCTGCCTCGCTGGCAGGGCACTAAAAGTAAGGAAGAAAAACAAACAAAAAAAATTAAATGGAACTACTGTAATGAACCCAGTCTGTAAGATACTCGCCAGATGTCGAAATACAAACTATCTCAACTCTGAACAATGTCACTACATATATAACAATCCCTAAGTTCCTGCCTGTGACAAGCGGACGATCGGGGCCCTCCAATTTTT